AACGATAAATTACAATTTTCAAATTAGTCAAAGCCAGTCAGTTAAGAACATTGCAATACGGTCATGGAATCAGTAGTCATAAGAGCAACGGTCATAGGAGCCGTTGATTCTCTTAGCCCTATGATTTCTTTATTGCTGTTAGTGACGATCATGTTAAGTCGATGTTGATTTGCTCAGACCACCACCGTTCAGGCATTGATAAATCGACTTTTATAATTGTTGATAGCGATCATAATGGTTGCAGTAGTGTCTCGTAGAAAGACGTTGCAGGAGATTTCAGACGGAAGTTATATTTGTATAAGATTTGTTGTTTAGTTAGGAATTGAATCGATCACCGCGCGACGCTGTGTTCCTGGGAAAGGCCAGCAACGATTATGATTTTAACGGAGGCAAATTAACTGTTTAGCTAGCCTAAGCTAATTTAATCATAATCAGTCTGAAGAATCACACAGAGTTTCGTCTGGATTCATGTCCTCATTTGGAAAATTTAAATATTGTAATTGCTTCGATAAGGGCGACCCGGCAGCGATCCGAAAGTAAAAACGATTAGTAAACATGAAGATGAAGGACGAGCCGGAAATCTGAGGAATAACCAATGGCGAACTACTCAATTTCAGCCGCTTAAAGAGGTTTATACCTTTTAAATATCCATAAATTCTTTGGAAAACGAAATCGTGTCAGAAGACGCTAATGGTACATATTAAACGTAATATGCTCAATTCTTCCGCTTTGAGCAACGTATTTAAACGTACATTATATGGAAACAAAATGAATCCTGCACCTGAAAATTGACTTTAGCCATGTATTTTCTTCTAGTTCTTATTCTTTAACGATTGACCAAAGAGCGATGTGTTTGCATTGCATAGCCCATACACCAACAAATCAGCATTGACTGTCTGCTTATCAAGAAGTGGCTGTTATTGGTTCGGTTTGGTCGTTGCCACATAAGATCAATAAAACTTATGGAGCGGACTAATGATTAATTTTTGACTTACTCAAAACGGCATTTGAGACTGTTATTCAGCACAATTAGAATATGCTGAAATAATGACATTCTCTTAGTTATTTGTCTTGCGTCATGCCCCTTAACCGACTTTGAGCATTTTTGTCAGTATAAAACTGTTGAATGCATCGCTGTTTTCTTTCTGACCCGCTTTATGAAGCAATACAAGATAAAATTTGGGCAATTCTTCTTGCAGTTTCTATGTTTTGCAGTCGTCGGCAGGTGCTAGTTTACCCTTTATCCGCACATCGCCACTTTGAGAATATGATATGGGGTGGGAAGTTATCGAGACGATTTTTGGGATATTTAAGGCATTATTGTAACTAACAATATTCGCTAATTATGTGTAGTAACTTTTTTTGCACCAACTAAGAATCGCTAGGCCTGACTCCATTGCAAATATTTGAATGTTGACAAGAGGTTGTAATTACCGTAGACATATGCAGTTGTTATTACGTCCAGCTATCACTACCTTCGAAGATTAGTATTTGTTGACTAATTAATATCTTTCCCGTGATAGCTTTACTTAGAAAATTTTACTTATAATCTGTTACGGTATGCTTCCGTAATGCGTTGTATCTACAAATGCTGTTATTTACAGCCCTCGTTGTTATAGGAGTTCTT